CCCCAACACCCACGCTCTGGGCGCTGGGCGTAGAGGAGAGGAGGGGTATTGGGGGGATCGGATTCAGGGACCAGAGTTACCATCTCTACTATTGGGGACGCCTGCACTGGGACTCCCTCTGATCCAGGAGACTCGGGGAGCGCCAGGGGGTCAGCTGCACAGCGGCCTGCAAGCAGCCCCTGCCAGGGAGCTGATCAAATTCCAGGATCTCGGACTTGGCACGGATAACAGGCGGAGGTCACCTGAGCAGAACAAAATATCCTTCGTCTCCCTTCCAAACCGGTGACCAGAAGAGCAGTGATCCGGTCTTGCAAGCAGCAAAGGAGTTTAGGCTGGAGTTTACTTTGGTCCACGACTTATTACTTATGTGGCCGTGGTCTACGAATGTCACCTACGTCCCGGGCACTGGGAAAGTATCAGCCTCACCAGGAGACCGTCACGCTCCCTCAGAGTCAACCCCTGTTTCAGCAGCCAAGGAGTTTGCAGGCCTCTGGGACGGGAGGCCTCCGAAAGCCTGCAAGGGTACTCGCCAGGCCAGCGCCTACCGGACCCAGCCTGGCGAAGGCTGGCCCCAGGGGCCAACGCCCCTTCCGGACTGCGGGGCGTCTGAACTCCGGCACCAAACGGGCTTCCTCCCCAACCGTAAAACCGAGGCGCTGGGCCCAGAGGCCGCGAAGGGAGGGCGCAGGGGAGAGCTGCTAGCTGCTGAGGGGCCGGGAGGTCCTCCAAGGACCCCGATTACTTTCCTTTGAATGAAAAACAACAACAACAACAACAACTGCTCCCAGGCTGAGCTTGGGGAGGGCCGGAGCTCCGAGCAATTGTCACCCAGGACAGTAAACACAACTCAGTTGCCTCAACTTTCGCCCCGCATAAAAGTTCCCGGCGTGCCGGGAAATTTGAATATTTGATCAGCCCCTTTGAGTGACCCTCATTAGCCCGGCGCCCTGCTAAGGCGCAGGCATTGCAAGAAAGCTGCTGGGCCCTGCATTTGTACGCCTTGTTAGCGCTGCTTAATGAAGCCGCCCTACCGGCTCAAAGGCGGCCTCCGGAGCCGGCAGCGCGCACCTCAAGGCACCCCGCTCAGCCTAATGAGCCCCGTCCCTGGTGGAGGGCCCCTCCGCCCCCCACATCCTTAAACAAGAGAAGTTTGGCTCTGCTTTGGACCACAGCACCTCCCACCGTTAGACTTGTCAGAGTAGCTACAAACCGGACCAGCCTAGCTGCTGTGGGGGTGACCCAGCCCCAAGAGCGATTTGGAGGGTTTGAGTCCAGTGAGGGCCTGAGGAGGGGGGCAGCTTCCACCAACACCTTCTCTCTGGGGGCCGCGAGTTCACCGTCAAGATCTCCAGAGAGGGCAGGTTTGAAATAAATTTGGTTTCCTTAAAGATGCAACATGACTAAAGTTGGTAGTGGCAGAGGGTAAAGTGCCCAGGGGAGGGGCAACTTTTCTTCCTTTCCTCTCCCCAAATTCCTCTGGTTTGGATGGCCCAGGAGGCCACACATCTCTTAAACTTGATCCTCTCCAGCCAGCCAGAGGGCTTGACTTGACTTGGTGAGTGGGCAGGCTCCTCCCAACACCATCATTGCCTCCCCAGATTCCAAATGCTGTCAAAGTTATTATGATAACTGGCACTGAAGAA